GTAAATTCTACTTTGCGAGAAGATGTGAAATGATATAAACGTGAGTGTTCAAATTAGTCTAAAAAACTGATTATTTTGTCACACGTAAGCTGTATACTAGCGCAAGTGTACTTGAGGTCTCTAACCAATGAGGCGAGGAGACATCCTTGCTTGTTTTCCTCCCTTTCAGCATACCCGTAAGGAGACAACGTTCTGGACACGGGGTTGAAGTGTGAGGATCACAAATACTCAATCAACCGTACGCAGTGTTGGAAGCCAATCCCATCCGCCGACAACACAACGAACTGGACGCTCGATTGGCAAGAGCCATATTCGTCCTGTGCAACTGAACTGAACTGAACTGACTGACCTGTTTAGTCTTGTCATTTTCAAGGTCAAACTTTAGACGGACTCGATGACGAATTTGCTGTTGCCGGTTGTCGTTGCTGCTCTTTTGTGTATTGTTGTTTCCTGCGTCCTTTACTTTTACGGCAGAAAAAAGAGGACCGCCGTTTTGCTTCTTGGCATATGTGAGTCCGGAAAAACCGCAATATTTTCGAGCCTCACTAACGGAAAATGCTTACCTTCATATACTTCACTGAAGGAAAATATTGGAACACTTGAAAGAGATGCGGACGTAAGTTCTGGAATAATTGATCTGATTTAATTGCTAGCGCTTCTCTTTAATTGATATTCCTGGTCACGAAAAGATTCGTTATGAATCTCTCGGCAAGTACAAAAACAACACAAGGTATGGTTGGATTGCCTCATTTTTATGAATTAGGGGATCGATTTTCGTTATAGATTCTAGCACTATACAGACAGAACTGAAGGACGTTGCTGAGTATGGTCTCATTTTTCTCGTTCCGAACAAGTTTAGGTTTCTGTATAACATTTTAACTGACCCCCACATTTCGGGGTCTGGCACACATATATTAATCGCTTGCAATAAACAAGATTCGTCATCTGCCAAAGGATGTGCTGTTGTTCGGAGTCTTCTTGAGAAGGAGCTGTGAGTTGTATTGGGTTCCGGCATTCACGGCACATCAGCCTGGTTTTACCCGTCATATCACTTTATAATAATCTCATCATTTTCCTGAGACTCCACCTATTCTTGTATTCCTTTTCTCATATATCGTGTTAAAAATCCATATTCACTATTCACGAGGATCCTCGAATTCCATGCGGAATGCTGCAGTTGATATGCGGTTTGCCACTCGATTGACGAACAGCATGGCCCTAGAGACAAGTTTCGTGCTGACCTGGGCGCCAGCAATGGCGGTAACTTGCTGTCTTTAGGCTCAATATCATGCATATATCATTAGGGCTTCATGTAGCTTCGTACTCTAACTGTTAGGCCCCGTCAAACATCCACACGACTACCATTCATCGCATTGAAACGTATAATCGAGAACTGGTGACAGGTTAATCATTCTACGTCGTGTAAAGCGAAACCGTTAACAGATTCATCTCATTTGTCCTATTTCACTTGCGATAACTGGTGGTAGTAGGTGACTTAAGCGTCATCCATGTACCCTGTGGTTTGCAGTTGCGATTATCTTTACTGCAGCTGTTTGTCTTCTTATTTTGTGACCAAAAGTTGCCCTTTATGACATTTTCATCCTGCAGAAGCATTCGCAGTTTGGGTACTGTATATGACTGGCTCTCTGTCTGCTCCTTAAATAACACTTGATTTTTTCTACACGAGTTTTCAACTCACCTATCTTCCTTGTTTATTGTGATCGGTTTCGTCTTTTTATCTAGTTGTACTCCGAATTATCACAATGTATCGTATTCTGTAATTGAAGTGGGTTTCTGATGCAATCATTGCGATACTTTCGCTAAAGGTCTAAGGCTTCCTGCCCCGATGGACTGTATCCATCGGTTTTCAAGGATGGAGATTCAGCCTTGGCTTCGGAGTTAACGAAACTCCTTGGCTCAGTGTAGGAGAAGGAAGAGGGTCTAACGGAAAGGTTTGAATGGGTCATCATATGGAGTTGCAAGACAGGTGACAGGTCCTCCTGTGAAAACCACAGAAGTCAATTTAATCAACAGCGTCTCTAAACTTCTCGCTGGCGTCGTACTCCGTCGATTATCTGCCGCACGTGAAAAGCGTACACGTGAGAACCGGGCTGTTTTTAGACCTGGCCGAGCTTGAATCGACCACATCACTCCTTGACAAATTACGGAGCATTGTCATTCTTTCCGTAGACCCACGATCTCCGTCTTCCTGGATCTGAAAGCTGCTTTCGACTCAGTTGACCGCTCTAAACTCTGGAGCTACCTTTCCCGCAAAGGTGTGCCCGAGAAGTTTATTTCAATAATACGACCCCTTTATACTAATAGCCGAAGTCGAGCTGGACCTTACGGCACTTTTTCGCCCGTTCACCACGAAGTGGTGTTTGTTAGGGTTGCCCTCTCTCCTTTCCCATTTAACT